GCATGATCCCGATCGGAGTTCATTATTAGAATTTTAGAATGTGGTACTCACTTTGAATTACTTGCTTGAATGCGCACGTACGGTATTATAGCCCCGCCACGGTGGTCTAGTGGCTAAGGTACTCGGCTTCTGACCCGCAGGTCGCGGGATCGAATCCCGGCTGCGGCGACTGCATTTCCGATGGAGGCGGAAATGTTGTAGGCCCGTGTGCTCAGATTTGGGTGCACGTTAAAAAACCCCGGGTAGTCAAAATTTCCGGAGTCCTCCACTACGGCGTATCTCATAATCATATGGTGGTTTTGGGACGTTGAACCCCACAAATCAATCAATCAGTACGCACGTATAGGATGCGTGCACGTAGGACGCCTGCACTTATCCGGGTGGACACCCGACGACATGTTTCTATGTCAGATTCCTGAACAGGCCCACTGATAGACTCACCAATTTGAAAGGACACTCAGAACGATAGCATGCGCAGTGGCAACGAGCGCAAGCGATCGAATTGTGAAACGAAGTGGGTGCCTCTGCCTGTCAGTGGTAACGACACTCATTCTGGTATTCATGCATGCATGTATGCGCCTAGCGCTTGTTATCCGATTGGCAACAGCTGTCTTCGTCTGACTAGTTACTGTATATGCTACATATACAGTAATTCTACGTCTGACCAGAAACGTGCGAACGTTACAGGTTGGTGCATTAGCGCAGATCATCCATTTGACTTGGAAAGCGTGTGTCTGCCGCTTGATCGTTGCTTTGAAGTGATTTACGGTACCTTGCGAGAGATTTAAGTTAGCATACGCAATCGCAAAATTGTGGGGCTTGGAGTAGATACCCTTTGACATCTTTCGTTTGGTTGCATACAAATCCTGGGAGAACAGAAAAAGAAACGAGTCAGCAATAAAACTTGCGAGTACGGCTTCATTCACTAAGCGTCCCACGTAGGGTCGCAACGTCTAAACTTAGTTCGAAGGAACCTTCCGAAATATCGGCCATATTTTGTTTTGTTCTGCACCATCCCCTCCTACCCCGTCTGCGCATGCGTCTTTGACCACCCTCCAAGTGGTCACTGAATTCTTGCGATTGTAAAGCGCACACTAGAAATTCGGTGTATGTGCCATTTTACGCAGGCATAGGAACGAAGAAAAGCGTCTGATATTACAAGCAGATACTCACATATATCAGCTGTAATGTAAATGCAGTGCATATAAGGGAGTCGGCTTGGTCGATCTGGGCGAACCAGCGGCGAATCGCGACAAGGGCGCGCGAAGGAAGACCGTCTACAGGCGCAGAAACGCATGCGCGAGCAGCTGTGTAATGCATAAAAGAACGGCCGTTGACAACCCGTCCCGTCGCATTGCCAGTGGAGGCTATAACTATTGCAACCGTGCTGATCGGGCGTACGTGCTTGTCGTTCCAGTCTCCATATATCTCTGGCAGCTGTATCAAGCCCTGTACACGGCGTAAAGACAAGCGTCTTTACCTCGTGTGCATGACACCCTCGCAGTTTAGCTGCTGCTGTGTACATAAAGTTGTGCCTGCGCGCCGTAACCTCCATTACGCGTCGTCCCAATCAGACAGGTCAAGCCTAAGCAATGAAAAGCTCGTGAAACTGCCCCCGTGCTTCAACGAGAAAGCTTGTATCTTCGGCCATTCTTTGAGGTGGGCCCCACACACGCCTCACCGTGGCAAGGCCATTAACTTTCGTTAGCTGTAAAACTGGTTCGCTGTAAACCTGATTGGCCACATGGGCGAAATAGTTGCATTCGATTTCGTAAGACACTTGCCTTTGACCACATTGGGTCGTCTCCATGGCGCAAGCAAAAGGGCTGGTTGGAATGCTGAGGCATGCGTATACCTAACACTAGGCAGGCAACAGCTAACAGTCGTCTTGTTCCGCTTGCGACAAGGATGTCGGCCCGTTCGACATGTCATTCCTTCACGACTATAATCTCGCGCCGAAACGCGCCCGGGCGCGAAGTGTGAAAGTAAATGGCATCCCGAATGTTAGTTTCACACCTTCAGGTCGGCACGGAAGAGTGGACGTAGCTTTCGGTCCGCAGCGCGGCCAGCGCGCTGAGCCTAGAGTCATTATCATCATCAGCCTGACTACGTCCACTGCAGGACAAAGGCCTCTCCCATGATTCGCCAGTCAACGCGGTACTGTGCTTGCTATTGCCTTTATACCCTTAAACTTTGTCTCCCCCTAACCCGCTTACCTTCTCTGAGAAATCCGGTCAGTTATCATGAATGACCAGCGGTTATCCTGCCTATACGCGCTACATGCCCGGCGCATGTCCATTTCTTCTTGATTTCATCTATGATATCCATAGCCCCAATTGTTCCCTGATCCACTCTTTGCCTCTTAAGGTTACACCTATCACTTCACTTCCCATCGCTTCCTGCATCATCCTCAATTTAAGCTGAACCCTCATCGTAAGCCTCCAGGTTTCTGCTCCGTAGGTAGGTACCGGCTGGAGTATGTGTCCCTTATTTTTATTGCGATAGCAATTATATGGACACTCTCGGCTGGATTTTGCCGCCAGCGTCACCGTCACTCACCGTATGTTGTGTTACGCCAGGAAGTCCACACCGAACGTCAATGCCTCTGCAAAGGCAATCTGTGCCAAGGCCAGCGATCGAGCCCGCCTGACGCGATCAACTCAACGACGTCATCAAGCGGCGGCGCCGGTCTGTCACGCAACGCACAGCGAGCTTCTTCACCCCACAAGCCCGATGAAGCAATCGGCGCCTTCCAGTCTGGCGAGTCTTACGCAATGCGTGGCAACATCCCTCGTCCTTGGGTGCAACCACGCGCAGCGGCGGGTCCCCGTTGGAGGATTCTGACATCACGGCCAGCGGCGCTTCTGGTTGGACGTTGGTGACTCAAAAGATCCACGCGGTGCCTATAAAAAAAGCCCAGCGGCGCGTCGCCAGCAGTTGACCTATGCGGCAGAGAGAAGCCGATGTATGTGTCAGAGGAGACCTCTCGTTGGTTCGAGCCCTTTCGCTGTCGGCGGGGCCGGTGTCCTTGTAAGCGGCGAGTTTCGTGGCGCGTTCGTGGCGCGCTTCGTAACCTCGTCAGCGGTGCGCTTCGTAACAGTATATACATATCTATATATATGAAAACGCAAGAAAAAAATAATCCAAAAGAAGACTCCAGCGCGCGGAATCAAACGTGGGGTCCCTTGAGGTGTGCGTGCGAGGCGTTTTACCACTGAGCTACGAAGGAGCACCTCCTATAACGTTCAAACGGCAAGATATTTATATCTACTACTTACTTCTGGTGACGGGCATCTCGGGGGGAACTATCATGTTTTCAGCATTACCAGCTAGATGACGCAATAAGCGCGCGTCGCCACATCGTCTCGACGCGGCGGCGCGCGCTATCATCTCGCGCGTACTTTGCCCCGCGGAGAAAAGGCAGGGTGGACGCACACGCGTGCGCTTATCTAGCGGCGGGGGCAATCGTACGTTTTGTCTGGCCTTGGGCTTTCAATTCTGTTGTAATTACGGGGCGCACAAAGGTCACTGTAATCGTTGCACAATTAACTAAGACGCTTATTCGCGTTTATCTGTACCTGTGAGTACGTTTCGTGCATCATTTGTGCGTGAGAATGGCGGGGCACATTTCGATCTGCTTGTGAAGTTGTTGCTATCGCATTCATTGCTTCGCCTTTGTGGCAAAGCTGTGACTTCTCATGAGGTGCCTTTCCAAAAGTCTCGTGAAATCGGCGAATACCTTAAGCTTTGTCAGCGGGGTAGAAGTAATAGTCACGTATTTCTTTTTTCCAGAGATCCTTACATTTTTCACTGGTCATCTTGCTCAATCTCTCGAGTGGTTCTTGAAGGCCACATGTGCAAAGCAGCGTCAATAAAAAAAAAGCAGTGTAAATTGGGTATTAAAACTAAATAAGCTCCTTATGGCTGTTATGCACTAACTTTGAAATTCGGAGCTGACATGTACAGTTCGTTCTTTGTGCTTGCTTTAAAGGTAAGACAGCTTACTGCTCTTCAAGGCAGGACCGACTGCCCTTATATATATTTATTGCACTTGGTATGCTCCCTTTCCCGTGTTAACTCCTCTATTGAACATTTATAGCAGATTCAGTTGCTTTAAGGTATTTTTGATTATAACAAATAAAACAATGATTTTACATTGACGCACTCGGTCTATTTCCTTTTGTGAAAGAAACGATCACCGCATTTCTGTACATATTGCTACCATAGGCAGTTGTATATTTTATTTCTCACAATAAACTAGTTGCTTGCAATGTCTATTTGACAAAAAAAATAAAATACAATTTACGTAATCTATGTGGCGCATCTCTCGACATGTTTCGGCACACGCTTTTGTTACAGGTGCTGTTTGACATCTTGCGTATCAACCCTTTCGAAGAATTACTGGTGGTCTGGATAATACGTTGCTTGGACTGAACCCTTATGTGCACATGTTGATTTCATCATCACCAGCCTCACTGCAGCAGGGCACAGGCTAGTTGTGTAGCTGCACATGTGCCACCGGGCCCATGCCCTCCCCCCATTTGTTTTTGCCATTTGTTTTTGTTTTTGACCCCGAAATGACACTCGACCACATTTGCCTGCCCCTCCCCTCGTTCGGACAAAGGTGATGACATCCCAAACACGGACAGTTAGACGCAGTGTACGAATGGTTCATCAAAATGGCGCGGCAACAGTGTTGCCCCCAAGCATATAAAGGCTAGGATATGTTTTCGGCGCTGCTTCACTGAGAGGCACCTAAAGAGAAAAAAAAATTCTCTCCATGGATATATCAACTTCCACGATACCAAAAACCTTACTCTTGATGCGCAAAGATGTACCAGGCCATCGTGATGTCATTGATTTTGCCAGCGTCTTCAAAGGCCCCAATGATAAAGGTGAATTTAATAACATTTTAAATGTGACATCGCAGTTTCCATGTGCTTTCTGTTATGCCTGGCATGACCAAAAATAGAACTTAAAAACAACACAAGAGATGCATGTAACAAGCAAAAATGTAGGTTTATTGCTAATTTAAAATGTCGTCCAGCGCGGCCATAACATACTACAATATAAATGCACTGAATGTGTAAAACACAGATAATAATATGCTGCCTGCAGATAGAAACGGAATGCATGTAAAGAAAGGGCCCATGCCCAGCATGCTATCTGTAGTCAATAGGAAACGAAATAAATACTTGTTCAAATGCTTCTTAGGAGTTCTCCCAACATCATGTGTACATTAGAAAACCACCTTTCGGTGAATAAATTATACAAGTACAGTCAAACTTTTTTCATCATGAAACACCCATTAACCATGTGCTTCTCCAACACAATATGAACTCACTAGTTTGCCAAATGTAATGAAGTTTTGCAGGAAGAAAATATAGCTAGAAAACCAATTACTAGTTGAAGTTTCATTTTCTCAAGAACAAAAAAACAATATTGTGATGTGTACTAAGTGCACACATCAGAATATTTTTAAGTAGTGCAGGTGAGTTTTTTCAGCAGTTTTCACTTTAACAGTGTTTGAAATTAAAAAAAAATATAGTCCCAGGGCGTTCACACTGACATAAACTGATTCAGGTCTAACTATGCATAGAAGCCTTTATATTCAAGCACACAAAGTTGATTGATATGTGGGATTTACGTCCCAATCCAAGCGTACAAAACGGATTCATTACATCCAAATTCGAGATATCAAGAGTCGGCTGCGAACTGCACAATATCACATGTCGCTTGTCTTCAACATTCCTTCAAGGATAGTAACTAGACACTCATGTTCATAGCAGTGACGCCGTCACCGAAATGAACACACTGGCTCTGCGCTGAAAACTGGTTCCACATGCGCCACTGCGAAGCTGACGAGGAAAAGTTGTAGTTAGTAGCATCACCGTTCCTTCCGAGTTTGCTCAGCTATCGTTTTTTTTAAGGTTGGGCGGGTTCTGTTCGTCCCAGACGCTGACTCCGTCACAGGCACAGATTCTCTTTGGGTTTTGGGCGACGCCGGATGCTCTTGCGATGATGCCGCAGGCGAGTCTGTGGAGGAACATAATTACACCATTTATGTTTCGAAGAAAGGTTACGATGTATTCGCTCCATTATTAACACAATCGTACTTGCATCGAGCCACAATGGAACTGATCCAACAGACGAGCTTTATTGAACCAATAGGTGGATGCTTCGTTGGTTCCATTTGTAGTCGTGAAGGAGAAAGACAAAGGCTGGCTTCATGCTAAGCGCGAGTTCTGATCTTACTTAGCAGCAAGGCACTAGCGCTGTGAGCGCCAAGCTTGTTTGACTGTTTCTTGCTGTACCTCCAGTCAGCCTGCTACCAGACGTTAATAAACCCTCTTTCACTGTGGTGGAGGTTCTAGGTAGTTAAATTTGTAACCTCAAAGCAGGAACCTGCTTACCGCACTGACAATGCCTAATCAGACCATTACCAATACCACCACCTTTCGTATTGGGCCACAATAGATGCTGCATAAAAGAGTTTAGACAAAATGAGATATAATAAGGTCATGAGAAAGCAAAATAACGTAAACACACATCCTGTAAAAAATTACAGGATGCAAGGCTTCAAAACAAAAAACTGAATTTCCCCTTGGCACGAGACATAGCCTCCAAATAGTAGCGACAGCCAGTCATAATTCTTGAGACTATATGAAGGGATGCAATAAATTTGAAGTACCACGTCTTTCACCAGACGAAAATCGACATTTGTCACAAAAACTATGTCTACTACAACGATGTGTCACATGGTGTACAGCCGCGGCCACGTCTGTGTAGAGCGCTCGAGCAGCCAGTTTTCACTCTGTGGGCCGAAACCCTGAGGCAGTTTTGGGCTCTAAAGGAGTGCACCAGGAGCATGCATGGCATAGTTGTCAGGCTAACCACATAAGAGCCTGATACTGCCCCAAAGTTTCACCCCGCAAAGCAAAAACCGGCTGTTCGCGTGCTCTACACAGACGTCGCCGCGGCTGTACATATTCCAGGAAACCAGAAACACAAATCTCTTTATAGCACGACAAAAGTATGGGTGTAAGGTGAACACGTGTGGAGTGCAATGAAAAGCTTTGTGGTTATTTGTAATAGCAAGAAAGTATGGGTGCCTTGCAAGGCAGGTAAAGACAACAAGCAATGGCCTCGAAAATCTAGCAGTCGTTCTCTAGTACAAGCAAAAATTTCATTCCAACAGTGAGCTAGTTCTTTAATGCCACAGGAAAACAAATACTACAAAGGAAACACAAAACAATGTCAGATTCCTTTGTTTTCTATTCCATCTGTAATACTGGTTTTCAATTGCTCAAGGACACTCAAAGCTCCCAGATGTCACTACTGTCTTTCAGAAGCACGGAGCAGCATAAGAGCCTTAATGGGTCAACACTCCATTTATGAACTCTCTTTGCTTTCTTTCCTAACAGGATTGGCCCTAAAGCGTGCCCGTTGAGACTCGGCATGTTCAATCAAAATCATCGATTCCTGGAGGCTTTTAAATGACGCACACTTCAGAAGATTTCAGCCTGCTAAGTGCCAGTGGGCCTGGTGTAATAAGCTGTTCGCCCTCAAGCAAGAGGATCTCAATTCAGTTGCCTTCCACCACTTTGCACAATGCTCTCTACTCAATTCTATCCTTCCTAAATGCTCTGCAGCCCAGACTTTTACAAGAGCAATAAAGACAAAAAAAAAAAAAAAAACCTGTGGACACTTAACACCCACTGTGATAGACCACAAGGAAGCCATGCGACAGCCTGTGAAGTCTCGAGCGTTCAACAAGCTACTGTCCAACCTCATCTTGTCTACTTTTATATCTTAGCTCAGCAAATGTGAAAGTGGCAGAAGATATCTAAGCCACTTATCCGCACTCCACCGCCCCATTTTGTGATCCAGACAACTCGGGCTACTCCTGACTTTCACGTTCAATGACTGATCAGTTGCCTGGTTCATTCGTTCACTCAATCATTCAGTTTACGCAAGTCTTTCGAAACGTACCTAGAGCAGTCTTTGTCTCCAGTGTGGGACTCATTTGAGGACTCCGAACAGACAACCAAGGACCTGCCAATGATGTCCCACACCTTCACGATGTCATTGGTTCTTCGAAAGACACTCCGGCCGTTGTTGTCAACATCTATTTCACCGAGACTGCCATATCTCTGAAAGAGAGAAGCGAACTGAAGCATTTGTCAACGAGATGCCTAGCCACAGTTGCATGTGAGTATTGCTTTGGAGATCTTTTCCTCTTGTACTTTTGCTTTCGCGAATTTCACCCACTACTTTGTATTTATTTACTGTAAGCTCTTGACACTGACGTCCCACCTTGTCACATTTCTGCACAAGTACTACTGCGGCATATTTCCTTGATACTCATGTTTCATTTAGTGCATGGCATAATACTTATAGTAGCAGACTCTCGGTAAATATAAATCTGTTAAACGGAACTGATACTTAAATAGAACAAGTGCATTTGACAAGACTGGTTTCGTTCTTGCATTCTGCGCCCCTGGTAATTTCCCAGTAAACAGAACATAATTTTCTGGTCCCTTCGTTTGCTATACTTCATATTTTCACACTGTGCCTCTCCTGCTTTACCTTGAAAAAAAAAACGTAGGACATCGATTGCAACGCGCACCCATTTTTCTCGCTGGCTCGCACGATCACACCACTCGAAAAAATGACTCCTTTCGGGAGCGTCTTCCATTTAAATATGAGGTACGGGCGAAGCTTGTGCCCATCTGACGTGTAACAGAGCATTGTCGTCACTGTAGTTTTACCGTGGACCGATGTCAGCACGCGAACTTGCTTCGCCTCCTTCTTCTCGACGGTTGTGGTGCCAGGCATGTCGAAGTAAAAAGGCGTCTGATCGGCATTCCCGATTTGCCCAAGCAGGTAGCCGTTGTTGCGCCGCAAGTTTAGGACGAACCTCTGAAAACTGTGAAGCTTTTCATCGTACTCCTCCGCAAAAGTTTTCGCATATGCATGTTCCCCTTCGGAGGGAAAAGCCTTTCCTCTTCATAAAGTTAGTTAGCCAGCACCTGCTCGCTTTAAACTGGCTCCGCATCAGACTTTTTTCTAAGACTAATTGCATAGCCCGCACTTGGAGCAGTTCTGTCGTCACGGGCTACTGTGCCGCTCGCTGCTCAAGCACATACTCGCCGAGCAGCTCTTTAATTTGCCGGAAACCGACCCTGCTGTGGTCCACTGAAGGCCTTTGCGTGAAGCTTTGCCTGTTGACAATCTTCTGCTTTTGTTCCCGCCGGTCCCGCACGCACGTTTCGGGAACTCCGAACGACCGCGATGCGGCCCGATTTCCGTTCGTTTCTGCACACGCGATGACTTTTCTTTTAAAAGCGGCATTGTGGTGCATTCGAGTATTTGGAGTCGGCCCTTCCACGCCGTCTATGCTAATGCACTACTAGATGACGCACTCCTCAGCACACGTACGAAGTGCCGCACATGGGAAACACATAGGAAGAAATAGCCGACGCGCCATGCCGACGCACGTAGGGGGCGGCCATTTTGGATTTGCCGATGGCAATAGATTGACCGTAATTTTTTTGTTCGTACTCGATTCTAACGCGCATGCGATTTATGAGCTCGCTTAACCGGAAAAAAGGTGCACGTTAGATTCGAGTAATTACGGTAATCTGTCGTTCGCACTCAAGCAAGAGGATCTCAATTCAGTTGCCTTCCACCACTTTGCACAATGCTCTCTACTCAATTCTATCCTTCCTAAATGCTCTGCAGCCCACACTTTTACAAGAGCAATAAGGACGAAAAAAAAAAAACCTGTGGACACTTAAAACACCCACTGTGATGGACCACAAGGAAGCCATGCGACAGCCTGTGAAGTCTCGAGCCTTCAACAAGCTACTGTCCAACCTCATCCTGCCTACTTTCATATCTTAGCTCGGCAAATGTGAAAGTGGCAGAAGATATCTAAGCCACTTCCCCGCACTCCCCATTTTGTGATCCACAGACAACTCGGGCTAATCCTGACTTTCACTTTCAATGACTGATCAGTTGCCTGGTTCATAAGTTCCCTCAATCATTCAGTTTACGCAAGTCTTTCGAAACGTACCTAGAACAGTCTTTGTCTCCAGTGTGGGACTCATTTGAGGACTCCGAACAGACAACCAAGGACCTGCCAATGATGTCCCACACCTTCACGATGTCATTGGTTCTTCGAAAGACGCTCCGGCCCTTGTCGTCAGCATCTATTTCACCGAGACTGCCATATCTCTGAAAGAGAGAAGCGAACTGAAGCATTTGTCAAACGAGATACCCAGCCACAGTTGCATGTGAGTATTGCTTTGGAGCTCTTTTCCTCTTGTACTTTTGCGAATTTTGCCCACTACTTTGTATTTATTTACTGTAAGCTCTTGACACTGACGTCCCACCTTGTCACATTTCTGCACAAGTACTACTGCGGCATATTTTCTTGATACTCTTGTTTCATTTAGTGCATAGCATAATACTTATAGTAGCAGACTCTCGGTAAATATAAATCTGTTAAACGTAACTGATACTTAAATAGAACAAGTGCATTTGACAAGACTGGTTTCGTTCTTGCATTCTGCACCCCTGGTAATTTCCCAGTAAACAGAACATAATTTTCTGGTCCCTTCGTTTGCTATACTTCATATTTTCACACTGTGCCTCTCCTGCTTTACCTTGAGAAAAAACGTAGGTAGACATAGCAGTGAACCTAAATGAACTTCAAACATTACAAGCAGGCTGCAGAAATAACAAACTTCTGCCCTAATCTCTCAGTTCACAGGCTTCTGGCAAATACCGCACATTCTATCAATTCCTCCTTCACTCTACAGAGCAACTTCTCTCACCTTCACAGCCTCTGCATTTCCTGGATAACACAAATAAGTATTCAGTTCAATGCCTGCTCAATGTTTGTGTAATGAGGTCAATGCACGTCTGGTAAGAACAGTGAAAAACATGACAAAGCTGAATACTAGCTACTTTGCAACCAAGAGATATTTCAACATACACTGACATGCACACAGTTAACCACAGAAGTAACACAAACTATCAAGACTCGGAGCTCCTTTTCTGTTTAAGGTCAGCATTGCTGCTAGACACTGAAATACAATAAATGTTATACAATCTTGCAAATAGTACTGCCCCTTAGCATGATGCAGCGTTGGGTTAACAAACTTCAAGGTCAAGCAACGTAGGCTCGATATACTTCTCCGCAGATACTTGACATAAGGTTTATACAGAGGACAAATGCCGTGTAATTGCTGCCATAATAAGTTTAATAACAAAAGTACAGTAATTTCGCCTTACCCTCGGCCTTTTGCCATCTGATGCAATGGGATGTGGGTCGTAAACGTCACCGGTACTGAAAATAAGCAAAGTCAGTAAAAACTGAATGATACCATAGTCTATACGCATCTGTTACGTTCAGACCATAGATATAAACATACACAAGTGAGCACCCCAACCTATTACAGAACTACATCTGTACAGTCAGATAAATACTCAACAATCTTGACCAAGTTTGTGCAAGACAATAACCATAAAAATGAAAAGACTACATAGCAAACATTGCTGCAAATATTTCCTGATTAATTCAGAATGTATATTCAACAGAGATTAAATGAATATGAAAACATATACAAGCAAATTTATGTTAGACAGACATATATTCATCTGTATGCACAATCTTCACTTATACTGGTCACAGGTGTGAGTGCTACTGTATCACATCTATTAACAACGATTAACTTTCAAGAAACTATGAGGCTAAACATACCAGATGCGCCAGTAAATGACAAACTGATACATTAAATAATGTGAGTATTCCGCAGTCAAGGGCACATTAATGTGACAGTAGAAACATTCGCGAAACTCCCCGATGCAGACAGCTAACATAAATGCAATGAACTACTATGACTAAAATTTGTCACATCAAATCTCACGACCTAACCTATTCAATCCCAGAACTACCTCTTCTCTACAGCCTAGAAGAGTGCCGAATGCAAGTGAATTTTGCTAGAGAACATAAAAATAAGCATTTGCATTCATGCCAATTATTCTTTGCCAAAAATATGAGCAAAAGAAACGACAAAGCTATAATTTGCCTTTGCACACACAAGAGCAACAAAGGCATTCAAAGGCCGAAAAAAAGTGAGAGTTGATAAATCCTTCTGCATACGCGATTACATTACTGAGAGCTCGTGAAAGCATCGGTGAATGTTGACACAACAGCACGGGAGCTTACGCAATTAGAAGCCCTAACTGATGCAACAGCGCTGGATAACGCAAACACAATGACTCAAGATAGCCAGATTAGCAGACACAATGAGGGAGGAGGGGGGACACATTGTTTGGGTGGTGAAGGAGATTGGCACTGCAAGAGTGACCCATTTACTTGGCTATCAAGACACACAGAAAGCACATGATTCACACCTGCGCGGGACCCTCGCTTTATGAAGCACGGAAATTTCATGTACTAAAAAAGTGCCAGTGTAAACGCATTATTTTCCTTTGCTGCCAAAGGGGCCATAAACGACGTGTAGGGCTTCAGGAGAACACACGTCCTGTAGATAGCTCGCATTGCTATGAACATTTCAGCCAAGCCTTGCAGTCAGGCCGCTGTGATAGCTCAGTGGTTAGAGCATCGAACGTGTTATTCGAAGTCTTGCAGTCATGCACAGCAAGGTGAAGTTTACAAGAGGAGCGCGAAGTTACCATTTTCTCAGATGCCTTCTTTTCATTAGAGGCCTGTGCCCACTTTCTTCGGAGCTGCCAGGAACTGCTGTTGTTTGACGTTGAACAGCAGATCACAGTAAAGCTCTATTAAACTGGTGAATGTATATTGACAACTTGGGCATAGAGATATTCCTGAGATCTACTTCTCATTTTAAGAAATTCCTGCTTCAGCAGATGAGAAGCACTCAAAATTGAGAACCTTCTTCAGCAATACCCTCACCCACATCGCGCTCTCTGGATACCAGCATAAGCGATTGGAAATGATTGGCCAAAGAGTTCTACTCTCCGCACAAACCTATCTTGAATCTATTGGACTAACAATATCAGCTGAAAAGTCAATTCATGCTGTTCCCAGGGATGCGAAGACGAGAAACAAGGCTGAAAATATTACTTCCTGATGCATCCATTAAACAAGTTAAGTACATGAGATTCCTTGGAGTCACACTAGACACCAGGATGAAATGGCGACGAGAAGTAGACAAGACAATGTCAGCGCTGTCACCTCGTGTAAGCATTCTTCGAAGGATGGCAGGAACAAGCTGGGGGAGCCAGCCAACATCAATGATAAAGTTACACGAGGCAGTAATTGTCAATCGTGTGCTTTTCCAATTGCCTCTGATCTCTCCGAGTGAGTCACAGTACGAACGGCTGGAAAAACTCCATCGTAAAGGCCACAGAGTTGCTTTGGGAGTGCCAAAGTTTGCAGCGAGCATAAAGGTGCTTCATGAAGCTCGTCTTCCGCCGTTTCGTCTTCTCGCCTCTCAACCAATGCTGCACAGCTTTGCCTACTTGGCGAATCGAACCCAGGATGAGCACTACTCAGTTCCCTTCTGCGACGCACGGAATCGCAAGCTTTCGTGGCCCTCAACACCCTTCGACAAGCCCCACCTTGGTCACATGAGGATGTAGACTGTCAGGTTACGATTCCACGGTTGCACAGCAAGCGTTCCACACCCACAGCAGAAGTACGTTCTTTGGTACTTGAATATCTTGAAAAAAAGTACGCCAATCATTTGAAAGTTTTCACCGATGGATCAGTCGACATAATGCGCGGATCAAGCGCTGCAGCGTTTGTGATCCCACCTCTAAAGGCGTCCTGGGCAGCCCGACTCGAGTGCGTTGTTTTATCGACAGCATGTGAAAGCGTGGCAATTCAGGCAGCCCTGAAGAAACTGAAGCTTTGTAGGCAGCAACAAGTCGTGCTGTTTTCGGACAGTAAGCCCGCTTTGCAGGGGCTAAAACATGGATTGCTTTTGGATCGATGCACTCAAAGATCACTGCGAATCCTTAAAGACCTGCATGGCATTCGTATAAACATTAAGTTTCAATGGATTCCATCACATGTTGGTATAGTGGGTAATGAGGCAGCTGACAGACTTGCCCGGAGTGCTCTGGAGCTTACACCAACGAAGAAGGCTCCCAAAGAAAATCAGCATATCTTACGAGAGGCTGTCAATAAGCATTTTCACTCATTATGGCTGACGCCTCACCAGCCATGTGTGACACAAGGGCTATCAAGGGAAGAGGCCTCCTTGCTTCATCGCATCCAAACGGGATCAGTGAGTACACCAGCATGGCTCCACAAGATCAGACCCTCCGCGACGCCCTTGTGCTCGAAGTGCAAGGAAAATGGTGATATATAACACTATTTGTTTAAATGTTGTGAGCATAAGAAGGAACGGCAAGGTTATTTGAGGAAATCCAACAGTTAGGCTCGCTATGTGACAGCGTTACAGATATTGTGTTTCCGTGTGGTTCCTCGATCTTCAGGAAACAGGTGTCGCAACTTCTCTTAAAATTTTTGATTGCTACAGACCTCGCATGTGACTGGTGATAAGTGACAATTATGTTTGTGGTATAGTGCTGCGAGATAGAGTACCGCCACAATACTGCAAGAGGAATAGCACAAAGGCCGCCATCTTATGCAGGCTTACGTCGTGCCATGCACGATTTTTATTTTAAAAGCCTGCTCGTGCTTAAGTAAAAAACAAACAAAGGACATTAGCATCAATTAGCAAAGAGAAAAACCGGGCGGCGCAATTGCCTGCAAATTATGCAAGGCTAGATCCGCCGGCTACGTGCAACATCCTCAACCTCAACCATAGAACAAAAAGACTAGTATTTGTGACTGATGCAGCCCTGATGTGAGCTTAGTGGACTTCGATTCTATTGTTCTTCCAGTTCTCAAGGCTCAAGAGACACCAGAAAGGTCATCGTTTCAGCGGTGTTTCTGCCATCCAATGGACTGTAGATTGTCTGCTAGAGGGCCTGACACTTGAATGTTAAGGAGCCTTTGCAGCATCATAATAGTATTTTGAAGGTGTACAAATGGCCAAATAAACTATTTTAAAGAATTTAAATATATACAATTGAAATTAATGACTATATTTGACCAGGCATGGTCTCCTTGGGTAGCCCCTGTGTGTCAGAATGATCATGAAGCCTCACTGAGCGCTATATAAAGTAATTATTTCTTGCAAAGTGAAGTACTGCATACCTTTGGCAGCCATTGGAGAGGTCACCCAGTTCGTGAATGCGTAGCCGGTGCGTCTGCCCTTGTTTCAGGCCGTCTATCACTCCATCAACGATGCATGCCCCATCAGTGCCTTGGGTGAAGCGCACAACTCCCATGATGCCAGACTGCCCAAAGATCTCGGACACAGCAGCAGCGACACCTTGTGCTGAGCAAAGGAGACGGCTTGTGTGTTTCCGACTACTCTTTTTTTTTTTTTGCGGCAAAGGTGTCTGTGGATAAGGTGAACTATCCTTGTGTGAGTGAAAGTGTGCGAGCAGAACATTCTTCCCCCAGCCACATGGAGGCTGGGAAAGGAAAACCCTTCTCCTCCCATCTGTGTACCGCACTGCACGCAGCGTGAGCGACAGCAGCACTGCAGCTACACACAAGCCGGCCGAGGAGCCGAATGCCAAAATCCTCCATTAAGTGCTTACAAGAGCAAAGGGCAGACATGAGGGCAACACGAGACACGTGTGGAGAGCTTTGGCAAAATAAAATGAGCCACATGGCTCAAAAGAGTTGACTGTTTGGACGAGTTGGTGCTTTGACATAGAAAACATAGTGAGAGTGCAACAAAACACGACACACAGAGAGAGAGACACGAGGATGCACGGCTCGGACCAGAGATATAGGAGAATGTTTCTGGCTGCGAGAAGGCTAAGAAATCTGCAGATACAGGACACTATCAGTACACTTAGTTTGGGTAATAAGTTCTAAACAATAATGATGGGATGAACTTGCACCTAGTTTAATCTCTGTCTGCATCTTTGAAGCACATCCACATGATCATCATCAGGACATTGTCTGCTAGCAGAACAGCACGGGCAATCAGACAAATATTAATAAGGTACACAGAAAGCATCGGAGAAAGAAACAAAAAACCAAAGGCTCCGGCATGGTGGTGCTTGGCTTCTTCCATGTTTCATGTACATAATATCAGCTGCACGTACACTTTTGGCAAATATCAGCCATGAGCAACTTCTATGAGAAAGAAACATTTGCAGTGAAGGCCTTTATCACACACAAGAAGAGCTGATCTTGATCAGCTTCAATAAACCACCACATGACATAGTCAAACGATCTACTACGAACAGAGCATAGGCTTCACAAGTGCACTTGATGCTGGCATCACGCAACTGTGTAGCACTTATGTACTAAGGTCATTAAATGTTGATTATTAGTAGCACTACAATTATGATGCTGTTTAGGCTTGTCACCCCCTCCTATGGCTAAAATTTCTCTTGAATATTACCCAAGCAGACTAGCTACCAATGTCACACTACAGCACGAAAATACACAACGGACGGAAATAACTCAATCGACGAGCGCTGAACATTTAACGCTCATATATAGTTCAACGCTTGTCGTCATCGTTTGTGTTTCTTCCGCCTTTGTGTATACTTTTGCGTAGTGTGCCATAACTATGTATTATCAACAAGCCCAACTAGCCACTTTCACTGCTGATGCACTCCAAACTGTTTACCTGTCAGCAATAAAGTTTGTCTCTTGATATGGCGACGGATGACTAGAGGGCTTGAAGCATTGATGAAGACAAGTTGCAGCATCGAAGACAAGTCTGTTTGTTGAAACATCGGCCGATGTTGCAATCTTTTCCTGAATATGCCTTTCATTTCTTTATGTTCTACTAGCTGTGAATATTTGTTCCGTTTTGAGGTTGAATTTACAGGCTGACACTGCAGAAGTCCCTACATTTATTGTTTTCCAGGCCAATATGCGTACTTCTGCTCAAAATTACCATTCCAACGTCGCAGTAGTAACTGGCGCACGGGTAGTCGCGCACATCAGTTATGACAAAGCGATAACGCTGAAAGGCAGCCGTGCTAAGATATCTGAGGGTTTATGGTGAGCCAAACACCCTCACGCAATATTCTCCGTACCTGCAGAAGGGCCGTACCCTTTCAGCACGGCCACTTTTCCGGTGCTTCGAATGGCTTCCTGGACCTTGGTGAATGGAATCTCGGTCTCCACCACGACGCTCTGTTTGTCCACGTCGATGACCATGTTCTGGACGCCGATCTTTTGCAGGGACTCGCGTACTTTCGCCTCACACCCACCGCACGTCATGTTGACGTCGAATTCCAGCTGAATTTAGAAATAACATCACCAAGAGGCCGCCTAAATATTCACTGCATGCCGAAACAATTCTATGGGCTTGCAATCCTAACGCCTCATTTTATTGTACAAGAGAGCACAAGAACTAGGACGAAACGAAGAAAATTTTGCCGCAAGTGTTGCTCTGTTGCTCATAATTTTTTTTTTCGTTCTAACTTTTGCGCGCTGTCGTTCACAACTCTACCGAAAATCGAAACAATTCCGATAGATACCCGTCTCCTAATGAAGCTGTAGATTGCCTTAACATCTTCGCTACCGGCGTTCACGTTTGTGGACGTTTACATATGGACGCTGTACTGCGAGAATAGGAATTTTAGAGAATTCAAATTCGGCGCTTTTCGAAGCCATTTTAATAGTTTTCACTATAGCAGACAGAGCACGCCAGTAGTAGTCGACCAGAAGCCCCGTGACAAACAGGTGAAATGGCGGCGCCCAGCTCCAGCGACACGCAGTGAAGGAGAGGCACGTTTTTCGCTATTATTGCGTATTTTGTATACATTACAGAATAATTTCTCCTCACATATTGAATATACGATCCGCGGAAGTGTAACAAAGCTTTAGTACTGCGGTGTTCACAACTATTGATTTACGATAAGCGTCTATACGATGGGCCATGTTTGTGGACATAACTTGTAAATGGGGGTACTGCTTCCTGGGTATGCGCTCGACAGCTAGGTTCCTGACCGATGAAGAGATTGCTGCCATGCTAGAAGAAAGTGATGCAGGCCTCTCAGACTCAGAAGACGAAGAAGAATGGGCATCGTCAGCACTTGCAAGTGATGTAGAGTCTTCAGGCGACTCTGCAGATGATGAACCTGAACCGGATATTGCCCAGCGACCACGAAAAAAAAAAGAAGAAAAGTTCCTGGACCTCGCAAGCGTAAAAGTTTCTAACATTTTTTCTGTCGGTTCGTTAAAATTAAATATTCGTTTTTGTTACAGATTTTGCAAGAAGGACGGTCCTGACAACGACAAACAAGACGATGATTTCCGGAAGTTTCTGACGCCGCACGAGTACTTTGAAAAATATTCTCTTTGGACTTTTGGAAGGAAGTTGCTGAGAAAACAAATTTGTATTGGGTTCAGAAACGAAACCACCGTTCTGTGCAAACCAGTACACTTGAAGCAAGAAAGGTTGCTGGGATCCACCTGCTGATGGGGATTATCCACCTTCCCCAAGTCCAGCTCTGCTGGTCTCGAGGAACAAGGACACCATCTGTTGCGGACCACATAACAAGGAACAGGTTTTACGACCTGCGTAATCACCTGCACTTTGTCGACACTTCAGCAACTACAGCACGCCAAAAGAAAGACAAGCTTCACCTTGTTCGACCAATAGTAGATTGCTTCCAAGCCGCCTGCCGAGCACTTCCCCGCTCAACAGAACTGTCAATCGACGAACAGATGATCCCATTTTCAGGAAGATGTGAATTCAGACAGTATCTCCCTTCGTAACCGAATCCACTCGGTCTCAAGAATTTCGTTTTAGCCTTCCTGGCGGTCTAGTCCTTGACTTCATTGTTTATACCGGGAAGAATACTGTAGACGCTGATGACTCAAAATTGTATGGCCTTGGGGGAGCAGTGGTCAAGAAGCTAGCAACAACCATAACGGATGACCGAGCACATGTCTTCACTGACAGTATTTTACAGGCCTGCGAATCGTGGACCACCTTCTAGAAAAAACAGTTTCTCACTGGGACAGTCAATGCAAACCGTACAGAGGGCGCGGCTGCAAACCTTCCAAGCGACAAAGCAATGAAGCGGGGTGACAGCGCTTGCCTTGTGCGAGATGATGGAGAAGTGTGCGTTGTGAAGTGGAAAGATAATAAGAGTTACTTTGATGTCAAGTGCCGTTGGGTGCGACCCGGTCGCCACATGCATGCGGTGGTGCAAAGAAGCAAAGAAGAAGGTTCCTGTTCCCCAACCAGCTATTGTTGGTCTATACAACAAGTTCATGGATGGTGTAGACTTGGTCGACCGATATATGTCGTACTATTGGATAAACATGAAAACAAAAAAGTGGATGGTGAGGTTTTTCACTCACTTTCTGGACCTTGCCATATGCAAATCGGGGATCTTGTATCAGCGTGACGCCCAAGCCATGGGCATACCAAAACAAAAAAAGGAAGTGCTTAGCCAGCTGCAGTTCAAACAAGACATCGCTGAGACACTAATAAGGGAAAACCCCATGCACAACCGCAAGGAAACGAGCGATCCGCCTGCGACTGACAACTCAAGGCCTGTGCAACTGCCAAACCTTGACACACGGCGTGACCGCTTTGATCACTTTCCCGAATTCTGCGGCCTAAAAAATGCAATGCGGTGCAGAAACGAAAACTGCAAAGGGAAGACGAGAGTTAAGTGCATGAAATGCAATGTTTTCCTATGTCTGCAAGGCAAAAATTGCTTCGTCAAGTTCCACAACGCTGGCAACTGATGTCCCCATATGTGGACACCCTTTTGACATTGTTCACAACCAATGTCCACAAGTGTGGACATTCTAGAATTACAACAGATAACGAGCATTTTTTCATTGTTTTTTTTTGTTATAGACTAAGACTGAAGTGTTTAATAAATATTTGTAAAAAAAAATAAGGTTTTCTTCATTCCTTTTTAGACCGGTAGTGAAGAGGTTAAGTGCGCAGCAATACGCCATTAAGCTAATCTGAAGACGTACGCGAGGGTACCTTCAATAAGCCATCAATCATAGAACTTGAAAATAAGCGCAAAACAAGACTAACCAGACCGCAATGCTATTGCGGCAGCACGGGAAACAGTTTCCGGCACCACAAAAAATTACCTTTGATTTGCCATCCACAACGTTGTCAGCGGCCATTCTAGCGCTTACTTAGAAAACTGACGTCTAGTTAAGCATTTGCGACTCGCCTGTTTTTTTATATTAACGGTAAATCGCTAAAGAAATTACGAAAACGGGTGTACGATCGAGAAATTTCGCCGCATAACTGCCGCCATTAACAGCTGCCGGCCCTGCCCAGAGTTTGTTAAAGACATAAGATGCGACGCTCCGTCCAAACACGCAACCTAAAATTGGCAAGACAAGATAGAACTCGCAGATTTACGCGTCACCTACACGCGAAAACGATAAACACAGCAAAGCTGTAGTAGCGGTAGTCTTCGCTGTTGTTGCGTAAATATTTAAAATCAAAATGTTTAGTGTGTTGACAAAGTTGCAAAGAGCCGCCAACGTGAATGCACTACTCGATTTATCAAGCTTGTGACCCTGTTGCTTGCGACACAAAAATACCTTGAAAAGAATACAAGATGCAAGTTGTGCTGTTTTTATTGTCAAAAGGTGGCGCTAGTATCAGTTGATGGTCAATCAGTTGATCAGTATGATGTTCAAGTTTTGAACTTTTGCTTCATAAAAGTTTCGCAACTATCCAAATAACTATGCCATAAAAACTTGCAGATTGACGCGCCGAGTAGGAGACAAAATAGAAAACACTACTTGGCTGCAGCCTTCCAGTGGTTGCGTAATTTATAATTAAAATGAGAACCTTTATGTGTGTCTGAAATGTGTCGACTGAGTTATGTGGTCTTATTCTGCCTGCAGAAAGAGAGCTACTATCTTAAACGCACCACTCGCTTCATCAAGCTTGCCCTGTTCATGACAAACGTACCACAAAAATGTTACTAAACGTATTTTTTTTTTCGTCGACAGCTGGCGCTACTATCAGTTGAAGGTCGCCTAGTTGATCAGTTGTATGTTCAGGTTTTTAACTTTTGCTATGTGGGCGTTTCGCAACTACACCCATTACTCAACCATAGAAGCTCGCAGATTGCCGCGCTACCTAGAAGCAACAATAAAAAACACCACGTACCTGCACTCTTCAAGTCATTCGTATGTTATAACTAAAATGAGAACTTTTATGTGTGTCAATGTGTCAATGGGGTTATGTGACCTTATTTTGCATGCAGAAAAGAAGCTACTAACGTAAACCTACCACTCAGTTCATCGAGCTTGCGGCTTTATTCATGAAAAAAAAAACAACACAAAAAATGTTCGTACCAAATGTATCCCTTTCTTTAGTCAACAGCTGGCGCTACAATCAGTTGATGGTTTTTTGGTTGATCAGTTTGGTGCACGGTTTTTGGAGTTTGCTATGTGGGCAGTTTTGCAACTAAGGTAATTGATAAACTATTTGTCTCACCAAGTTGGTGTTGGGACATTTATTATGGAATATTTATTAGTAACTGAAATATTTGCTTTTAACATACCCTGCCAAAGTGTTTTGTATAAAATTACTGAGTCATATAAGGAGGAACGATTTCCTAAAATATGTTACCTGTAGTATTGTGATGCTTTTATTCTCAAGTTTCAGTTTCGTTTGCGGCAAACAACTCGCGTATGCTTTCTCACATACAAGAAATGAAGTCCGGCCCAACTGCTCATCTTAAAGTCATGCATTAGCACCGTGATTGAGATGTATGCTTACATAAAAAAAAGACCAAATAAATAAAAGACGCAAGTGAAAGAACGCTAGGCGCCAAATGCAAGACCGTGACGGTTTATGATGTGCGAGCGGTTTTCACGAGTCGTAATTAAGACTCCTTAGTGAAGATAAATTTGCGACTTATAGCCTGCTTAGTGCATTAACTCATGTATACACCCTATTATATGACACAACCTCTATATCATTAAAGAGAAAAGACCAGGATAAGCTTCCAATAAGCAGTGCACTTGCAGATTAAACTCGGGTAGATCGCGATCAACTACCACTAGGCTGTCGAAAATTGATCGCGGCTTTCGTACTCACATGCTGCATGGCATGAAGACCTAGGCGGATGTAGCTCCTAGTGCGCGGGCCTTGTGACGAAATTCAGAAGCGCATGTTGTGCTGCGGAAGTTAAAAGCACGGCAAAGCAATGAGTATAATATGTGAGCCAACAGTGCACGTGAAGACCGAAGGAAAGAAGTGTACTTTTAAGCGCTCGCTTTCTTCGTTAGACACAATGAGATCTAAGAGACAACCATGCTAAGGAAAGTATAGGGGATGTTACTGGAAATGGAAAAGTGGACGAAAAGATACCTAATTGTTGCCGTACGTGGGCAGGCACCGAACCTGCGACCTTCGAATAACGCGTCCGATGTTCTAGCAACTGAGCTACCCCAGCAACTATCCCCCCATCCAGGGGCATGGGAGCGGCGCTGACTGACGCTCCGACATTTCGGTCCCTGCACACGGCAAGTTAGCTTTTCTTTCGCTTTTCTTTCTGCACGTTTACATTACTATTTGAATTGTGGTTTTTATACAAGTTACCCGGATTAATTGTCTGCCCCCCCCCCCCCCAAAGAAAAAGAAACCTTGATTCTTCCAGTTTCAGTTAATTGATCGTCCTTAATTATTAATGCAAGCAAGCTTTTTTTTTGCATTTAAATTTTACCTTCCACTGAACAAGAACCGGATCTGCCATAAAAAATATCCATCACATGGCTTCCATGACGCGCCTCTGACTCTGTGGTTGTTTTCGGCGCATCCAGTCAACAGAAGCATAGCTTTAGAGATTGGTTTATTATATTCGACTGCAGCCGTCCATGGTGGACAAATTCAGACACCACCTAACCATCAGTTGTACGAAGGAGTAATACAGAGAAGTTCATTGCAGAATGAGGAATGTGTGCGTGTTCGTGCTTTTTATCGTTTCAGTTTTTAACATAAAACAGCGCAATTCATAATGTCATGGTTGATTAGAAATCAATAAGTGTCAGGAAAATATTTCACGTAACCACAAACGAAAAACAAAACGCTTGTGTGTGTTGTGTTCAAAGGCAGCAGCTTGAATAAAAGCTGTCAAACCTCTCATTTCATCAATCTATTTTATTTACAAAACACGTATATACACTGTTATAAGATACATCGATTCACAAGCTACGAGGTATTTGTATGCCTACATTCAATAATATTCTTGCACGATAAACATTGTCACACTTCAAGTTGACTCAAATGCTTTGTCTGTGCATACAAAAAGTTATTGACGATATAAAAACTTGTGCGTGCCACATATTACATAATTTGTGCTAATAACACACACAAACACACATAATACTGCGAAAACGGTATTGTATCGAAATTTCATAAACGTAGAAAGAATTATATCTTCTACCTATTTGATTTGTATTATGAGTAGTGGCTGCAGCAAGTGCACTTGTATTAAGGCATTATGCGGAGTTATCACAGAGGCAACACAGATTAAATGCAAGAAAAACAGTTTTTTTTCATGTCTGGCATAAATACATGTGTACCAGCATAACAGGTATTGACTTAAATGTGCTTTAAAGCTATGGCAACCATATGAAGATGTGCTATGGAATTTATTAAAACTATAATTATACGATGAAATGACTACACGAATTTATAGCATATTGTTCCTAAAAGTAACAATTGAAAATAATCTAAAAGTTGAAAACAACACAAAATGAATCGTTTCAACAGCGTGGATTTGGATTCGTTCCAAAAAGAAAAAAAAGAACTGCATATACGAGAACCACGCTTGCATGAGAGGGAGGAACCATGTGGCAAAAACAAGTACCTATAAAGCAATGCGAGATTGTCGAGCTTCTTTACAACACTAAAAAAAAATAATACAATTCAGCCTTTTTTAACCGATGCAATGCTTGACTGACAAATGTTAAAAACTAATATTGTGTATAACAAAAAAAAGAAGCCCTCAAATTTACAGCTGTTTGCTTGAATACAAAGACACTCATATCTGCTGGCGAGCGATTTGCTCCGAGCACAATCGTCGCATCCATGTGCATATTTTGTACAAGATGTCTTTAAAAAAAAGTTCTTATGAATTGACTGACACGAAACTGTCAGGTTTTTTACAGCTTAAGCTGATACTTTTCATACTTTTCGTTATGTTGAAGAAGCGTTGGTTAATTTCTTTATTAACAACAATATGCACTCTGGAAAATCCTGTGCTTGCCACCACTGTAATATAAATAAATATAGCTCCAAAGTTAACATGAAATGCGCAGTCTAAAGCTAACAAACTAACAAACAAAAGAAAACTCATGAAAAATTCCTGAGAATTCGTCAGGCCTAAGCAGCAGTAAAATACGCCGAAAAAAAAGGAAAGCTTTCACATATTTAGAGCTTTTTTATCATTATCTAACGCCATATAGTCTTTGGTTGCTGTTAATTAATGACGAGAAGCTTCTTGGCGTAGGAGCATTGGACGATCAAGCCTGAGTGTAGTGATCAAAAAGGAAAAACATAGCTATAAAAAATAAACAATTACCCTAAATTGTGCACTACAGCATTGCGGAACGCTATCAGTAGACAAATAGTTCATGATTTATCAGTGCAAATGATTGATTAAAACAACGAGCAATTGATTACTGAAATTTCAATACGTACATATAATGATCACATCTTGGTTATAGCGACGCTGTTGTTCGTGGGGAAATTGGACACGACCAGCTGCTTTCTTAAAACGCTCTCAGAAACTTTCGTTGCAGCCTTTTTTTTAAGAAAGGCATACGAGGTGTGCAGTGTTTCAGCATCAGTTGAAGTACCGAATAAATGATGATATGCCTGCTTCACCAATATGAGACCTTAAAAAATTGACATCTTGGCATTTCATATGCACGCTAAATTTAGTGTTTAAACATCCTCTACAGACACTAACTGTGGTGGAGTGAGTGAGAGACTTGTATAAGTAGGAAATTTTGGCAACATTACATCGTCACCTTCTTCAGAAACATAAAATCGGTTAGTCATCGGATTACTGCTAAATATGATATGAAAAATATTTGAAACAACGCTCCAACAACGGTGAATATTTCGCAAACTATTAAAAGACAACATAAAGAAACACAAACAATGCAAAAGTGTTCTGCAGCTTCTGCGGTTGAAAAACACATGTTGCTCAAGCTTATGGACTAAACACAAAATATTTGTTTTCAAAAATGACTAAATGCAAAGTTTCTATTTTAAACGCGACATTATGAGGCGTTACAAAGACGACATGACAGTTTTAACATCACACAAGCACTCACAGGTACACGCCACCATATTTTGAGATGGTTCACCCCCACTCACACCCAAACGAATGTGAGTGAGGAGGGGAATGAATCGGCCAGCAGATACTTACACTCATTGGATGGCTACAAATAAATGATGCTAAAAAGTTGTACCCAGTAATTTTGTTATGCGACACGATGGTACTGTACGTCTCTGGTTCATTCACAAGCATAGAACTTGCAATGTTCTCCACCAGAATTCATTTAAAGGCACCTTTCTGCCTTTGGTTTTCACCAATACTTAAAAGGACGATTACAATACGTTAAAGGATAAAGTTCTGCAGCCTGTCTTCACCAATTGAAATATCTAGTTCACTTTAGCTTCCCCGTAGCGCAGCCACCCCTCACCCCAGTGGCAGAGTCCAACACTAAATAAGCTTCGCAATGGTTGCAAAAACAAAAAAGAAAACGCTGACGTGCGCTCTTGTCACAATGCCCTGCCTTCGATATATGACTACCCTGGGGTAAATGGGGACCGTTTACTGCACACGTTTACCCCAAGAAAGCCAGAGACAGAAGTTTGTTTCCTCACAAAACCGTTTTGGTAAAGGAACATCAGGGCTCTTCAGCCACCACTACTGCACTTTAAACAATGGTGCACATGTCCGTCTGTTAGTTCATACAGCTGGGAGTGTTGGTACAGGTCCATAATGAAAATTCAGTTTACTGAAAGAGACAGAGAAAGGGACAGTTTTTTCCCTCGTCCCTGCCATGTGCTCAAGTTTCATTATCGAGGGCTGACTTGGTACAGGGATGGGCACCACTCTTAGATGATTAGGAAGGGGACCCTGCTTCCTTTCTCTGTGTGCAGGCTTATATATGCGCCGAACCCTGATGCTATCTGGCCAAACCAATAGACATAAAACACTTGTCTAGCTGCCCCAGTTCCCAGCCCTGCAGACGTCATCCTTATATGCACGATCATAGTAAATGATCTCCGGGCCCGCCCCACCCCTCACCAGTCTACCACAGTTTCCGCCTGACAGAACTCTGAGGTTCGGGCGGGGGCACTTCGTCCGTGCACTGCAGGTTTCGCAACATCTCATCCAAAGCCAGGTACTCCTTGGCCAACGACCGTTGGTCGTCGTCGTTGCGGTTCTTGACCTTCGGTGGAGACGGCGGCTCCCTTTCGGCCGCCTGGGCGATGACGTCGTCCAAGAGGACGCAGTCCTCGAACCATACCCGACGCATCGTTGACGACCTGGACGACCTGGGTCGCCTATGGTCGGAAGAGTTCACGTCGTCCGAACCGCTTCCGGTATTAGCCGACGACGAGTAGGACTCCTCTTCAACTGAGTAAGACAGGTCTGTCTCTTCCAGGCCATTAGTGGATGAACCGTTCGTGGAACCCCGAGCCGAGCAGTGTGACCGTGAGCTGTGGGAAGAGTGCGTGTCGGTGTCCTGGTAATAACGGCTCGAGCCTACGAGGTTCTCGTAGATGGGAGTCATGGTAGAACACTTGTTGTTGATTCTACTGTGGTGGTGGTTTCCAACAGCTGGTAGTGTGATTACGTTGACATTGTCGACGTAACACAGGGGGGTGTCTTCAGTCGCGACGACTTCGACGGCGGTCAGCGGTTGGGTCGCCCTCGTCGTCGACCTGCGGGACGTTGCGCTCGATGATGCCATGGGACAGCGCATGGTTGTGGTCACCGTGGTGACGCGAGGTCTGGCGTTGTCGTCCGAGCTAGTCGACTCCGACGTGGTGCTTGACAGGTCCGAGGTGCTTCCGTTGCTGCTGGTGGCCACGGCATCTTGTACCTGCACGTGTCAGGGCCATGACTGAAGTTGAGCAAACTCAAGACAATGATGCTGCCAACATCGGATAATCTACACTGGTTGATAACAGCCAACAGTTCCACAATATTTGCCATCATTTAACCAACATATAAAGTCAAAACTGGAGGACACTTTCGATAGTTACCCAAGACATATAGCACAGATTAGCCACCTTTTAGCTAACATTGGCCAAGAGCAACCTATATTTAGTTCTTAATGAGACGTAATGATCCAATCTAGCTATTATAACCCACCATTATCAAAGAAAGTAAACAGCAGAAATACTTATTTCCACGTGGCATAATGTGGGTGCAATAGGGCCAGTAAGACACTTTTTAAAAAGCTGCTTGCGTGCGCATGCATGTGGTGAGGCCTTGCCAAGGCAGAGGAATTGACGTACCAATAAATGATGAAGAAGTACTGTATGGTTATCGAAATGATTACTTAAGCATATTAATGTGCACTTCTTTAGGGTTTTCAAAAGGAACTGTGTACTGGAAATAGCCTATCAAGTTAAAGCGGAAGTTAGAGACCTGCAGGATGGAAGTTTAGACCTGAAGTAGTAACTGAAACTGAATTAGGGACCTATGGCATTGGGCACCCGAAAGTCACGTGACAGGCCGGAAGCGCTATAACAGTAGCCAGATGTGACCCGTATACTGAGGCCCATGTCGACGAACCTGCTTCCACCAATCGGACGGGCCATGCAGCGTTGGACTGAGCACCAGCAGCTCCTGGCTTCCGCGGGCGTAGCTCTCCAGGCCGAGGTGGCGCGCATTGTAGACAGACAGGTAGCCGGACATGCGGCTAGACCGGAAGCGCTGCACGAAGTCCAGCAGCCGAAGGGCGTTGTCCGCCGTCACTGTCCGGCACTCGATGAGCAGCACGTACGAAAAGGTGCTGAAGTCACTCCTGTAATGCGTTTTTCTATGTTCGAATGTCGAATCAAACATTGCCTTACAGTCGTATCCAATAAAGTAGGTGTCTCAAACATGCAGCCCGAAGAGTCTACGGGCTGCGTGTTTCGATGTAGGCGAAAATGGAGGTGATGGAAGCGAAACTTCCTAGTAAATTGTATGGAACACGACAGCTGGCAGCGGTGCAGCAGGCTACGTAACATTGGGGAGAGACACTTCGCCAGCTATAAATACCCATCATTCGTTTTTGCTCAAAAATTTCACGCGCACAAAGAATTTTGTTTGAGATAAAGTTTCAAATAAAGGTCACACCCTTTGTTCAAAGCTTTCCTAAAGTTGCTTGTTTCAAATAAGCTAAAATAACCATTAAAAATAAAATAATAACTAAATCAACAAGTGCGCCCGTAACACTCATAAAAAGTAAAATTTGGAAGCTGTCGTATGGCTCAGTGGTTTTAAAAGCAACTGTACGTGTGGTCAAGTGTCGCCACGGCCTCATTAAGTGAGAGGCGCATGAAACGGTGTTATGCTTTTGCATAGTAGAGTACCTCGTACTCTAAATTGTTAACAACTTTTTCTAAACGCCGACGACTCTTTCATAGTAGAGGGCGTATTGACATCTGAAGCGTTCACAATTGATTCCTAACAATTCAAGCTCGAGTTCCCAAAGAGCTCCGCATTTCCCCTGCACTGGGACGGCTTCATGCCCTTCCATAGTAGAGTACCAAGTACTGTAAATATTTGACACTTTCTCTACATTAATTTTAATTGGCCCTTAATTCAGAACATTCGTATACACAGTCATAAATTGTTTTTTAGTGCTCGTATGTAATATGTATGCACTGCCTTTGCTTGTTTTCGTTGTTTCGTTCGTGTATGTGCAAGTCGCGTGTACACTAAAACTTCCCTTCTTCAAAACGCATCCTCCTACCCGGGAGACTGGTTCCTGTCGTGTGCCTTGGAGCACGCTGACAGCATCATTTTTGCCTGGACACCTCCGAAACTTTATGTGGTAACTAGAGTGGGGTGTGCTTGCTACCCTTGGCCGCCTCGAAAGTTGGAGAATGATCTTATCAGCAACATTCCCGAAATGCTCCCTATGCGGGAAACAAATCGGCATGTTTTAAGGCAATGCATCATTGCTCGTGTTTTCTGGAGGGCCGCACATTATTGATTTCGCAGTCGGAGTAAATCACTTCGTTTCGTCTAGGCATTGTTGTCGAGACCGCTTCGCCTGCCATTCGCAAAATTGTAAAGTGGGCCCTCGACCTCCCCGTGAACGCTTCTAACCAGCGCCTTCTAGGCCTGGGAATGGTGAGTACACTTCGGGAGCTTCGACAGGCCAATCTCACAAATCAATAAACTCGACTCCCACAGGCGGTAGCGGGTCACCGACTATTAGCCCACCTACACATTCAACACATCCACATCAGAAAATATCGCGTTCAACTTCCCATTCAAGTGGAGATGCGCCCTCTTGTGTGCCCTCTTCCAAACATGTTTGTTCAGTACCGGCAGAAATGCCATCTATATACGCAAAGAGTACAGTCTTGTTTCACACTTAGGGGAAATCTCAGATCTCATAACACATGGTGTGGCCAGCGCTGTACTCGTGTGCCGGTAT